ACGAATGCAGGTCAAGAAAACCAGTGTAGCAGCAGCCTCTTCAGCAGTAGACTTCAACATACACATAGGAAACAGCAAGATTTTGAAATACAACACGGAGAGCACCAACCCAATCACACTTGATGGAGAAGCTCTGTAAGTGGGAAACTTTCACATACCTGAGCAGCATTGTCGATAAGCAAGGAGGACTTGATGTAGATGTAAGGGCACAGATTGGCGAAGCAAGACCAGGATTCCTACGATCGAATAACACATGGAACTCAAAACAACTGTCAGCCAACATCAAAGTCTGACTCTTCAATACTAATTTCAAGACAGTTCTATTATACGGAACTGTAACTTGGAGAACTACTACAACCATCATCAAAGACATACAGGTATTTATAGACAGTTGTCTGTGCAAGATGCTCCATATTTATTGGCCGGATACCAACAACAACAACCTACTGTGGAAGAAAACAAACGAACTTCCATCTGAAGAGGAAATTAGGAAAAGACATTGGAGGTAAATAGGACGTACATTGAGGAGATCGTCGAATTGCACTACGAGGCGAATCCTAACTTGGAATTGTGAAGGCCAAAGGAAGAGAGGGAGACTAGTGAACACATTGTGTCAGGAATTAAGGGTAGGCATCAAAAGAATGAGTAGCAATTGTAAACAAGCGGAAAGGAGAACCTAGGACAGAGTTGGCTGGAGGATTCTGGTAGGTGGAATATGCTTCCAGGAGGAGTAAGAAGTGTAGGTAATCATCTAAACAGTGCATACCTATCATCACTTGTGGGAACGAATATAGGACTGAGGTGACGATACCTCTGGACATTATGTCCAGAGGAAAACTGAGTAAATGACATGATGCATCAGAGATCAATGGAAAATGGGAAGCTACAGAGACTGGGCTATATTAACCTGATTATTCGCGTAGCCGAAATTATTACCATTACGGGGTTATCTGAATTAGTTTACTGAATTATAAATACGCACGGAATGTTAGTGCCACTATTCAGACATCAGGTAGTATGTTTCTTAAGCAGTTTTTGTATTCTCCCTCCCTACAATAATTATTTTTATCACTATTATTATTGTCAACTGTAATGATTTCGATCTCATTGTTGAGGTCTGACATGATAAACCCTCATTGAAATAAAAGCCGTTTCGGGTAAACATTCTGACAATGCCTGTGTCTGATAGTTGATTATTTCTTTGAATGGCATTCAATAATGAATATTAACCTCCGAATGCAAGTTCGTTCTGCTGACAAATCCTAAATAAGACGTAAAAACTGTCCTACATTTGACTAGTAACCACTACCCAAAGAATATTCCAAACAATTAGTTCAAAGTGCAAAGAACTGTTACAAAAAGTAACAATGAAACCTTTTACTAATTGCATTATCGTTCTTCATACAAATATTGAACAACGAAAACTACAGTAAACATACTGGTCAGGTAGAAAAGCTTACATTGACTATTAGAGATGATTTTTTACGTCGACCAAATAAATTCAACATACTATCAAAATTATTTATTATCATACGATGTTGTACTGTAGTTTATACTTGTAATTGATCGTAGCTTGATTTTCAAACACATAAGAAGTTAGCTTAAAATAGTCAGAGGTAATCAAAGGTTATCTGCCGATAGATGCGCGTTTGTGTGCCGGTGGAATTTAATTTATTTTGATATACAAAATATTGTTTTGAACTGTATTTCTTGAAGGGTTGTTAGTGGTTTAGAGATTAGTTAGGAACTAAACAGATTTTAAGATTGATGCGGACATATTCGAAGTGAAGATTTCAATCATGGGATAATATCTGGAGACTGATTGGAAACTACCGATCACTGAATAGCTGTCATTTTGGTTAGGCAATCTTAGTCCGCACCCAGTACTCACCTAGTTGTCAAACCTAGGACAGCCAGTTTTCCATATCAATATTTAAGATTTAAACAGTTTGTCTCGAAACTTGTCACTCATTGTTGGCGAGCTCTTGAAAGGGACTATTCCTTCTCTTTATGGACTTCAACCACTCTCTCTTCTAAGCATGTTTATCTAAGCGTTACTGAGTACGGAAAAATTATAGCACGAAAACCGCTTCGAACTCCGCTCGGTCGAGCATGAAGATAGTCACCCTGATGTTGCCCGACATGGTCTGTAGTAAAATGTTAAGGGTGTCTGTCGAATAAGATTGGGAAGACCTTGACTAATCCGAAATAAAAACAGATTAACTACTTCTGACAGATTAACAGCATGAGCTTTTATGGACAGTAGCCTAGTCTTAAAATTTATATCGTCTCAGTTTCGGAAAAAGTATAGAAAATCACTCACGACAATTACACACGAACCGCTCATTAATTGCCTATTATATTAGCCCCAACTGCCATCCTACATTTAGTAGGAGCCTAGATACAACAAATACTGGGTAATCAAGCGGGTTTCAGGCCTGTTCACAGATGTATCGAGGAAATATTTACTCTTCAACAGGTTTCTAGGACACAAACATGCCTACCGACCCCGAAGTCTGGAGTTTTGCCAAAGATGAGAATACAAACATCCTCAACTAGTATGGTTGAAACATGTTCTATGTGCCTAGATCGTAAAAAAGCTAACCGCCGAGAGGTTAAAATATAGCTCCAACCAAGTAAGTCACTGATTGTCAGGCAGCCGTGTCATTAAGCTCTGATATGATTCGAGATAGGATCAGTAATAATTTCGGCTTGGGATAATCAACTACAGTTCATCCGCCATGCTTTGAATATAAACTTATTGTATACTCCCTTTTTTAGAATTAACTTCTTTCCCAACATTAGCTTTTACGTTTACTTCCACATTAGATCTGATATTATTGTCATTCATCATTGTATTGACCTGTTATATTGTGTTGATGTGTCAACTTTAGAATCGACATATTCAAGCAAAACTCAGCAGTAAGTTCAGTTGAACTAGTTCATTATTTTGATTCGAATGAAATTTCCCTACAGAGGAAGCACTTCAAAATAACGGAAGTACTACTGTAGTTGTAAAGAGTCTACTAACTAAAATCACTAGCTTAAGGAAATTGAGACATGGATGAGCGTCTACTAGGTTTACAGCATATTACTATCTCACACTGTTATTTTTATTTACCTCAACCACTAATCTTATAGTTCCAGTTGACTTATAAGCTGATCCATGTAAAGATTACAAAGTGTTGACTCCAATAACAACATTCTTAACTTTACTTTGTTCCCCCGACAATCCTAAACTTCATAAATTAATTTGAAGTACCATGTTTATCTCAAACTTAGCTATCCTCTTTAGGACGTTAATTCGGGTTTATAACTGTAGAACCTGGTGATAATGTGCTGAAAAGAACATCCTCCGTCCAGGTATTTTGGTTTATACTGGCTCTTAATATCCAGGTAATACTTATCAATATGTGACATGTAAATGGCGTTTGTTAATTTATTAGGGTTTCGAATGTTATCTAAGTCTACCTATGAATACTTCCCGATAGTCTGTAATAGCCGCATACAATATTGATTGTCTTGTTATTATTCGAGGATTGTCACGTTGTAACAATCCATATGGTTCAAATGAAGAACTAACCAAGGTGGTGAATGAAGGTAAAGGACAGGAAACTCTGGATCTAGATTTCATTCTACCTGGCGCCCTTCAGCAAGGTGTACCTGCAATTTCGAGGAAACTGATGCTCCCTGGCGAATTTCATATAGTTCCACTCAGCTCCACAGTCAGAGACGTTACCGCTGAGTTATCAGAGCCGCGACTGGTCTCCTGTAAGGCTGATATGTACATAAAATTGACTGACTACTGGGTAGTGACTAATTTTCGCTTGACACCCACATTAATTCATTACTTAGACAGACTCAAGAGAGCTTCAAAGTGTGAATCAATAGTGCAATACAAAACTATCATATTTATACCAGTTAGAAAGTAAACTCGTGATATGAAATCGACCATAAGTACACTGCAATCGTATATTCTTGTTTGGCCATACAATTACTTATGAACAAGAACTTCTATATTCTGTACGACACAGTACAATTCATGTAGACTGAACCAGAAATCTTAACTTATTTACCCTCACTCATTCAGATTTTGCGTAGCTACTAAATAATCGGATGAGTTCGTTTTATTATGTCTTGACTCTATTTCCTCCTTTCAAGTCAATTAAGTGCTCATAGACTTTCTATTCTTACGACCTACTTTTCGAGACAAATTGCACCAAAACACTCAGAAGGGATAATAATGTCTTCATTATGTAGCTTTTGTTGTAAGCTCTTATTGTAGCAATACATTTTTAAAGCAGACATTGATTTCTTACAGAACATTAGTACTCTGATTCAGCAACGTACACAATGACCAAAATTTGGAGTACCTTCATTTTACTTCCAGTAGTAAAATTGCTGAATTTACGGAAATTTTCCGAAGTAGGACATTTCGGTAGCGTAACCAGGACGACACACATCAGAAGCGAGATGACGAACAATTGGGCGACTAAGTATACCAATAAATCAAACATATCCTTGCTTATCGACAAATAACTGTAGACACAACGCAAAACCACAAAGACAAGGTGACTACAGAACATCAGCCTTAGTAAGCACCACCTCATGGCATATCGTAAGTTTACTTATGATTGGTACGTGTCGACGATTTCGAAAAAGCTCCAGGTGCTTGCGTCCATGTGACCAAACATGATAGTCGCTTGAAGCACGTAACCTCAGAAAACAAGGACTTAACACGTACAAAAGCTGACAACTCGCACTCAGTAAATTTACAAGAACACCCACAGGTTAGTGAGAGATCCATTCTCCATTTTTGACTTACGAGTTCAACAAACTAACAAACAATCAAACGTGAAAAACTGCATAGCCTATTTTGGATCCGACCTCTTACACTTTGGCTGGTTAAACATATTCAGGTGGGGTACATTTAACTTGTTAACCAGTAAAATTGGTATTTAGAAATATAAATTAACCCTTATTTCGATAAAACAACAAAGTACCAAGGTACAAACAAATTTATCACAACTACATAAAAAAAGAAAACAATTCATTCAGATTATGCATTGATTCAATTGACATACGACGCTATGCGCCAATAAAATGTACAAGCTCGTTGGAGCGAAGGGGAAAGTGTACAGGGAAAATGAAAGGGGGTGGCCGTGAAGGCCCCTATGTACAACTGAAGCGCAAAAGCGCAATAATAATAAGCTTTACAAAAGCTACAAGATCATACCACTGGGATTGCAAATAAACTGTTCACAAAAGGTATAATGAGGTAATACTTGAGAAGAGTTTAGTTAAATGCTAACAATGAACTATAAAAAAGACAACTTCCATATTGCAAAGTTCGAAAGATTAAGTTGGAAGCTGAAAAATCTGTGTTGGGCTTACTCCATTCGTAACATGCAGCTGAGGACCAGGAACTTTTGAATCCCTAGACCCACAGTCACGAGTTAAACAGCGTACTTTAGGTGGTGGCAAGACTGAAGGATCCGTCAGCAACATTTTATTGTCCGTCGAAGAAAGGCCGTTACCATTAGAATTACTGAAAGAAACATCAACACTATGGGACCTGGGAAACTCAGAAGGCTGAAGTGTAACACCGTATGGCCTTGCCAGCTTTCGCCACAGGCGATGAGTTGATACCAAACTATTGCTAGGCTTCGGCACCAATATGGCCTGGGAAGCTTGACACATATTTGGATTCGTGATGGGAATCTATATATGTATGAAGCAAGCCCAAAGAAATTGTTAAGGTCTTAACCATCATCAATGTAAAACCAATTAATAACTTAGATCATAATTTGTCACAATATCTGATAATTTAGATAAAACAAATGAATAATCGTCAAAGTAGTTACATCGTATGACTGACTAAAATTATACTGAGTAAACGCCATATGGCAATACTTCTCAAAATCAGAAAGATAAAACCTTCAAAAAGCCAAAAATGAGTACAAATAAAAAAGGCTCACCATAACCGCGGACGATACATTAACTGATTTCTTTGGCATTAGATCGTTCTGAGGGTGCAAGGGAGAATGTTTTTCCTGAATCAACAAACCATCATTCGGAACATCATTTAACTCACGTCCCGCATCCAGAGCAACTTCATCTATGGTCACACCATCTGGATGCTTCCTCGAAGTTGTTGGACAATCCGTCTTCGAGTAGAAAATGGGAGAGGAACGATGATCCGTGGGACCTTTAGATTCAATAAGTATAGGTTCGAAGGGTATTGGTGGGAAGATAGTTTCAGAAACAGGCCAGGAGAATGAAGGACGCCCACGATGCGAACTGAAAATAGAAGTCTTTAGTCTATTAAACAAAGCAACATCTTTTGTTTGTGACTGTCGCCAGCAAACGTTTGAGGGTATAAGACTTGGATTAGCTGAACCACTAGATCTCAAATTCGCATCATAGGACTGGAGATAAGCAGAAAGTGGCGTGGGGGCTGCAACGCGATCACATATTATTCGACCGCCACGACCAAGGCGACGCCTTATATAGCCGGTGTAGGTAAGATGCTTTGTATGACACAGTCGTGGAATTGTTGCTAATGTATAGCAGGAATAAGGTGAGCGGGAAGGATGGAGACTGGGAAGTGTGGAACACTCTTCTAGCAATGACCTAAGGAAATAAACACGAATACATAAACCTTACATGAATATGGGATAAATGAAGGATACGCTAACTTATCAAGCGTTAAGTTCGGACAATTACAGTTTCTCTAATAGTCGTTAAACGAGTACAGGAACACCATGTTTATGTCAAAAGAATTTAATACGAACGAAAACCCATACAAGTCCTGACAAGTAATTACGTCTATAATGAAACGCCGTTTACGAAGTGATAATCAACAGCTTCATTAAGAATTAGTTCAAATTGACCATGAATAAATGCTCAAGCCAGACCAGTTTCCACGCAATTGCTGCAGCTAACTCCACACGACAGAATGCCTCGTTTCGTATTAACTATGTACCGTAAACTCTACCAAACTCTTGGTGACAATCACTAGGTGTTTGGTCTGCACGAGTGACAAGGTACTGGCTGGGGCAAGCCTCTAGAAAGGTCACCTAAATACAACAGACAATGGGCATGTCACTTGGCTTACTAAAGACCGAGCCATTATCAGGAGGTCGCGTTTTACCTGGAGAGAATCATGGCAAAATCAGAAACGTCAATACGATACCGAGTGGCCTAAGTAAACGAAAGCTTAGAAGTTCAGTTACTAGTGAGCACGAACTCGCTGTAACTTGTAATTCTGAGTTGAGTGACAGCTATTCGAATGCTTTTAGTTAGTTATTCGTATTATCCCAACCTATTAAATTCCCTTGCTTGTGATATATAGTTCCCTTGTTTGATTCCACAACTATCTAACAAAACCATGCGACTGAGTCCATGTTCAAACGTGTCTTGAGAGACTTTCTCTTACGTACACAGAAGTCTGGTATATTGGATACAGTAAGGGTCTATACATGCTTGTTGTAGAATAGCCATGTCCAATAACTTAAGCAAATTATTCATACAACATAAAATTGGTTTCAGTGATAAATACCCGGTGTAAATCCCACTGTGAGGGACTATGATTACTTAGAATTTTACCAGAACTACTTAAGGCAAATAAATAAGAATGGTGAATTAAAATCTTATATTAAACAATAGACCTTTCCGCATCCATCATTAGCATTAATGCAAACACTATGTACAATGATTTGAGCAACCATTAGTCCACGATTTGAAACATTAAAAGATATATTGCGCTTTTAAATCAGCAAGTTTTCGTCATGTACAGACGGAATCCGTGGCTAGTGGTACTATGCAATCCCAAATTATAGACGTCCTACTTAGGCTACTTATGAAAAGCTGTAGAAAAACGGACAGTGAGTATAACTCAACAAATAGATAAAAGTTTAGTACAGAAACACAGTAGGTCCGCTGGTTAACTATATACCTTGGCTTCAAATATCGGCAACCAGGAGTTCTAACAAAAGAGAATGGTCCACTTTGATCATCATCATCATCATTGTCAGAAGCCTCGTCGGAACTTGTGGGGTTTGGGAGATTGCTGAACCTCTTGACCAGTTTGCGCTTGCGATTAGGACGTCTTTTGTTGTCCTAAAAGAAATGAAATCCTTAGGCAGGTGACTTACTTTCAAAGACTTCATAGTTACTACACCTTCATCCTCGTGATGGTTCCGCACTAAAGTTTCGGCTTCTACGAGACTTGAGCCTTCCCAGTCGCACAGCTTGCATCTAAGCTGAAAGCATCTGTAATCACAGTTAACAATTGCTTCCTTTGTAGCTTCACGTTTGACAAGTCGACCGAGTATCTCCCTAAGAAAATGCATTAGAATAAACGCTTTCAAACCCTAGAGAATCCATTTGTTCTCTCAAGATCAACATCCTTTCGTACGACTGCTCATCACTTTTTCGGTTCTTACGGGTTTGCATCTTTTCACTCCGTCTTCGGAACGCCACATATGGATCCGTGTTACTACCACCATCACGTCGCTCTTGTCGAACAGCGTAAAGAAGAGGTTGTCTTGACTGAACACGCTTATTAAGCCAATAATCATACACAGCGATAACTAGGGATGGGTGGTCTTGAAGAAGGTACTTAGCTTCTTCCAAATTCATTACCTATAAGCAATGAACTAGGGGAAGTATATATACCTTTTGACCACAACCACGCTCAAGCCGGTCGATCATAGACTCAAATTTCTCAGGAGTAATACCCAGATCACTTTTTTGGAACCACTCTTCATCTTCACTATCCATATCATATTCAATTGGTTCCTCTTCGGAGAACACGATTGCTTCACAGAGAGTGTTACATCAATGCACAACTTACTTCTGATATGTAAGAGCTGTTTTGGTAGACTAAAGCTGTCTGGGTAAACCCTCTTATAATCATTCTCTTTGTCAATTATCTCGGGGACAGGTATTTTAACATCTGAGTCTGTACGGAGTTGCAGGGCCTGAATAACCTCCAGAAAGTGATGTTCCTGGTGGGGAAAGTTAAAAAACGACATTAGTTCACGAACCATTTCTCCTAATAATCAAGTAAGCAATGGAAAATTAGAGACACAAGGACAATAACATACATCGTATTACTACATAAAAGCCTAAATTTTATTACATTTTCCTCCTCTTTCTCCATCCCGCTGGGAATCTGTGGAACGCCACGATTGACCAGTGCATTTTCACTGATTTCAAGGAATAATTCAGAACCATGCTTCAGAATAGGTAAGGGTTTGTTAAAATCTATTTGTCGAGCTCGAAATGAGACTTTGCTCATAGCTGAAAACAAGAACAAGAAAAGCAAGCTCATTGATAGCAAGTGAACATAGTTCCTATGATATTGAAAGCTCAAGAAAAACTGAAAACTAAGTATGTACATTGATTTACAATTTCATATTAAGGATATCATAACTCAATAACCTTAATTATTTTAATCTTTTGGCCCCACTCCAATATGGCGCGGGGTCATTTAAGTGAAATCCAGTATGGCGGTTCGATCGTCTGCAAATGGCTGGCAAGATGGAGGAAGACATATATCATTAGCCAATTATAACAACTTCGTAACGTCTTCAAGATATTTTCGATTTTGCAGCTTGAAAATATGACTAAAAGCTTTCGCTTTCTGAATTGTTTTCATATATATTTAAACAGTGCTGAAGTATTGTTTTTTGCCTACGAGGTAGAACTTTATTGAGTAGTTCACAGCAAGTGTGGTGTTCCTTGAATTCAAAGGAAAAAGACTTTGCCTCAAAAATCGACGGGTAGCGTTTTCCTAGTTTTCCTCTATTCATAGTCTAATGTAGTTTATCTCTGATATGTTACAACGCATATGGCCTAGGAATTTACGACCGGTAATAGGATATTTAATCTTAATTATATCCTAACCATTTTATTAAGCTCCATAAACAGTTAAAAGATTCAATGGTAACTTCACAAACCTAGTCAGCAGCTCGCAAACACATAAGATATAGAAATAAGAAACGTACCCATGTATATCACTATTATTTACGAGTGATGACGTTGTAAATTTCATCAGGAACAAACATCCAGTGATATTGGTGTATGAATATTGGCTTAATAAGCGTGTTCAGTCAAGACAACCTCTTCTTTACGCTGTTCAACAAGAGCGACGTGATGGTGGTAGTAACACGGATCCATATGTGGCGTTCCGAAGACGGAGTGAAAAGATGCAAACCCGTAAGAACCGAAAAAGTGATGAGCAGTCGTACGAAAGGATGTTGATCTTGAGAGAACAAATGGATTCTCTAGGGTTTGAAAGCGTTTATTCTAATGCATTTTCTTAAGGAGATACTCGGTCGACTTGTCAAACGTGAAGCTACAAAGGAAGCAATTGTTAACTGTGATTACAGATGCTTTCAGCTTAGATGCAAGCTGTGCGACTGGGAAGGCTCAAGTCTCGTAGAAGCCGAAACTTTAGTGCGGAACCATCACGAGGATGAAGGTGTAGTAACTATGAAGTCTTTGAAAGTAAGTCACCTGCCTAAGGATTTCATTTCTTTTAGGACAACAAAAGACGTCCTAATCGCAAGCGCAAACTGGTCAAGAGGTTCAGCAATCTCCCAAACCCCACAAGTTCCGACGAGGCTTCTGACAATGATGATGATGATGATCAAAGTGGACCATTCTCTTTTGTTAGAACTCCTGGTTGCCGATATTTGAAGCCAAGGTATATAGTTAACCAGCGGACCTACTGTGTTTCTGTACTAAACTTTTATCTATTTGTTGAGTTATACTCACTGTCCGTTTTTCTACAGCTTTTCATAAGTAGCCTAAGTAGGACGTCTATAATTTGGGATTGCATAGTACCACTAGCCACGGATTCCGTCTGTACATGACGAAAACTTGCTGATTTAAAAGCGCAATATATCTTTTAATGTTTCAAATCGTGGACTAATGGTTGCTCAAATCATTGTACATAGTGTTTGCATTAATGCTAATGATGGATGCGGAAAGGTCTATTGTTTAATATAAGATTTTAATTCACCATTCTTATTTATTTGCCTTAAGTAGTTCTGGTAAAATTCTAAGTAATCATAGTCCCTCACAGTGGGATTTACACCGGGTATTTATCACTGAAACCAATTTTATGTTGTATGAATAATTTGCTTAAGTTATTGGACATGGCTATTCTACAACAAGCATGTATAGACCCTTACTGTATCCAATATACCAGACTTCTGTGTACGTAAGAGAAAGTCTCTCAAGACACGTTTGAACATGGACTCAGTCGCATGGTTTTGTTAGATAGTTGTGGAATCAAACAAGGGAACTATATATCACAAGCAAGGGAATTTAATAGGTTGGGATAATACGAATAACTAACTAAAAGCATTCGAATAGCTGTCACTCAACTCAGAATTACAAGTTACAGCGAGTTCGTGCTCACTAGTAACTGAACTTCTAAGCTTTCGTTTACTTAGGCCACTCGGTATCGTATTGACGTTTCTGATTTTGCCATGATTCTCTCCAGGTAAAACGCGACCTCCTGATAATGGCTCGGTCTTTAGTAAGCCAAGTGACATGCCCATTGTCTGTTGTATTTAGGTGACCTTTCTAGAGGCTTGCCCCAGCCAGTACCTTGTCACTCGTGCAGACCAAACACCTAGTGATTGTCACCAAGAGTTTGGTAGAGTTTACGGTACATAGTTAATACGAAACGAGGCATTCTGTCGTGTGGAGTTAGCTGCAGCAATTGCGTGGAAACTGGTCTGGCTTGAGCATTTATTCATGGTCAATTTGAACTAATTCTTAATGAAGCTGTTGATTATCACTTCGTAAACGGCGTTTCATTATAGACGTAATTACTTGTCAGGACTTGTATGGGTTTTCGTTCGTATTAAATTCTTTTGACATAAACATGGTGTTCCTGTACTCGTTTAACGACTATTAGAGAAACTGTAATTGTCCGAACTTAACGCTTGATAAGTTAGCGTATCCTTCATTTATCCCATATTCATGTAAGGTTTATGTATTCGTGTTTATTTCCTTAGGTCATTGCTAGAAGAGTGTTCCACACTTCCCAGTCTCCATCCTTCCCGCTCACCTTATTCCTGCTATACATTAGCAACAATTCCACGACTGTGTCATACAAAGCATCTTACCTACACCGGCTATATAAGGCGTCGCCTTGGTCGTGGCGGTCGAATAATATGTGATCGCGTTGCAGCCCCCACGCCACTTTCTGCTTATCTCCAGTCCTATGATGCGAATTTGAGATCTAGTGGTTCAGCTAATCCAAGTCTTATACCCTCAAACGTTTGCTGGCGACAGTCACAAACAAAAGATGTTGCTTTGTTTAATAGACTAAAGACTTCTATTTTCAGTTCGCATCGTGGGCGTCCTTCATTCTCCTGGCCTGTTTCTGAAACTATCTTCCCACCAATACCCTTCGAACCTATACTTATTGAATCTAAAGGTCCCACGGATCATCGTTCCTCTCCCATTTTCTACTCGAAGACGGATTGTCCAACAACTTCGAGGAAGCATCCAGATGGTGTGACCATAGATGAAGTTGCTCTGGATGCGGGACGTGAGTTAAATGATGTTCCGAATGATGGTTTGTTGATTCAGGAAAAACATTCTCCCTTGCACCCTCAGAACGATCTAATGCCAAAGAAATCAGTTAATGTATCGTCCGCGGTTATGGTGAGCCTTTTTTATTTGTACTCATTTTTGGCTTTTTGAAGGTTTTATCTTTCTGATTTTGAGAAGTATTGCCATATGGCGTTTACTCAGTATAATTTTAGTCAGTCATACGATGTAACTACTTTGACGATTATTCATTTGTTTTATCTAAATTATCAGATATTGTGACAAATTATGATCTAAGTTATTAATTGGTTTTACATTGATGATGGTTAAGACCTTAACAATTTCTTTGGGCTTGCTTCATACATATATAGATTCCCATCACGAATCCAAATATGTGTCAAGCTTCCCAGGCCATATTGGTGCCGAAGCCTAGCAATAGTTTGGTATCAACTCATCGCCTGTGGCGAAAGCTGGCAAGGCCATACGGTGTTACACTTCAGCCTTCTGAGTTTCCCAGGTCCCATAGTGTTGATGTTTCTTTCAGTAATTCTAATGGTAACGGCCTTTCTTCGACGGACAATAAAATGTTGCTGACGGATCCTTCAGTCTTGCCACCACCTAAAGTACGCTGTTTAACTCGTGACTGTGGGTCTAGGGATTCAAAAGTTCCTGGTCCTCAGCTGCATGTTACGAATGGAGTAAGCCCAACACAGATTTTTCAGCTTCCAACTTAATCTTTCGAACTTTGCAATATGGAAGTTGTCTTTTTTATAGTTCATTGTTAGCATTTAACTAAACTCTTCTCAAGTATTACCTCATTATACCTTTTGTGAACAGTTTATTTGCAATCCCAGTGGTATGATCTTGTAGCTTTTGTAAAGCTTATTATTATTGCGCTTTTGCGCTTCAGTTGTACATAGGGGCCTTCACGGCCACCCCCTTTCATTTTCCCTGTACACTTTCCCCTTCGCTCCAACGAGCTTGTACATTTTATTGGCGCATAGCGTCGTATGTCAATTGAATCAATGCATAATCTGAATGAATTGTTTTCTTTTTTTATGTAGTTGTGATAAATTTGTTTGTACCTTGGTACTTTGTTGTTTTATCGAAATAAGGGTTAATTTATATTTCTAAATACCAATTTTACTGGTTAACAAGTTAAATGTACCCCACCTGAATATGTTTAACCAGCCAAAGTGTAAGAGGTCGGATCCAAAATAGGCTATGCAGTTTTTCACGTTTGATTGTTTGTTAGTTTGTTGAACTCGTAAGTCAAAAATGGAGAATGGATCTCTCACTAACCTGTGGGTGTTCTTGTAAATTTACTGAGTGCGAGTTGTCAGCTTTTGTACGTGTTAAGTCCTTGTTTTCTGAGGTTACGTGCTTCAAGCGACTATCATGTTTGGTCACATGGACGCAAGCACCTGGAGCTTTTTCGAAATCGTCGACACGTACCAATCATAAGTAAACTTACGATATGCCATGAGGTGGTGCTTACTAAGGCTGATGTTCTGTAGTCACCTTGTCTTTGTGGTTTTGCGTTGTGTCTACAGTTATTTGTCGATAAGCAAGGATATGTTTGATTTATTGGTATACTTAGTCGCCCAATTGTTTGTCATCTCGTTTCTGATGTGTGTCGTCCTGGTTACGCTACCGAAATGTCCTACTTCGGAAAATTTCCGTAAATTCAGCAATTTTACTACTGGAAGTAAAATGAAGGTACTCCAAATTTTGGTCATTGTGTACGTTGCTGAATCAGAGTACTAATGTTCTGTAAGAAATCAATGTCTGCTTTAAAAATGTATTGCTACAATAAGAGCTTACAACAAAAGCTACATAATGAAGACATTATTATCCCTTCTGAGTGTTTTGGTGCAATTTGTCTCGAAAAGTAGGTCGTAAGAATAGAAAGTCTATGAGCACTTAATTGACTTGAAAGGAGGAAATAGAGTCAAG